GTCTGTAAACAGCTTGTACTATAGTGACTTGCACTTGTTTATTGTTCTGAAATAAATTGTTTTACCTGCCTTACTCACAAGCTCTAAGCTTCACAAGGGTTTCTTCTACTTCTTTCATATTTCTCTTTAGAATTGAGTATAATAATAGGAAGAAAATCAGCCGTCAAATAAGGTTTTTAATTCTCAAAATGCAAAATATTAAAAATATTTACCATGAAGTTACCCAGACTACTCAAAAATCTTCCTGTGGGTAAATATATACATACATACATACATACATACATACATACCAAACGCTACATACCAAACTCTTCAGAATAAAATTAAGCATAAGTGGACCACAGAACTGAGGTTTCACTTTACAATAATCCTAGGAAGTGAAAGAATAAGTTGTGATTTAATTAAAAATAAACTTTTCCAGAAATAAAATGCATTTACTGTATTAGAGGTTCAATGTTAGTACAGTTAAAGAAAGTTGTAGTATTTTCACCATGAGACATGAGCACAAGTTAATAATTAAGCCTTTGTTGTTTACTTGATGATTTTGTTGTTCCTTCTGGGTTAAGGCTCATGTATCTTAATTACAATGACTTTAGAATTGCAAAAACAGCAAACAATAAAACATAGTAAGGTCCACCTAAATGATATCTCTTAAAGTATAAAGTAATAATAATAATAATAATGCTCTATCTCAAAAGAAAAGTAAAATTTAAAAAATTTGTTTCGCGTGAAACTATACCCCAGAAACTAAAATTCAAAGTCAACTGATTTCAAAGTACAAAAACAAACAACTCAGTAAGCCAGAATCCACTATACCACAATGGCAATCAATAACTGGATAGCAAAGAAGAAACCCACTAAAGGTTATTAAATACAACTGTAATGTTCTCTCAGCTATTTCTATCTTCAAATAGCTGAAATTCATTTGTCATTCAAAATCATAGAAGAAAGCTCCTGTTCCCTCCTCTTTCAGCTTTACTCTTCTTTTCTCTTCCCCTCTCCCCACAATTTTACTCTTTGAAAATAGAAAGCAATTTTTAAGCATTATAATTCATTTTTAGACATAATTTCTTAAATATATGCTATCATATAAACTAACATCATGAAAAGCCCCAAGCTGTTTACTATCTAGAGATTACATCCCCATCCCCCCTCGCATTCAAATAAGACTCTGTGACAAATTCTCAGCAATGAAATGTGGGCAGATGTTTGTCACTTTAAGTCTGGGGATTCTTGAAAAATGGCCTGTGGGAAATAGCAGGGCTCAGAGGCCTTAGGGAATAATGGAGCTATAAGATATAAGGAGTCTGGGTCCCTCAATTACCACATGCAAGAAAGCCACAAGCCTGCTAACTAGACGCACCTGCACTGGACTGTTATGTGAGCAAAATATAAACATGTATGTATTAAGCCACTGAAACTCTGGAGTGTATTTATTACCCTAATTAGCATTACCCACAATACATGCAGAAATTCTTAAGTATTTCAATTCCCTCTAATTAAAGACATTTATAAGGGATATTTTGGAAAGATTGTTTAAAAGCCCAGTTAAGTAACGTTACATTTTAAAACCGAAACAATTTGCCACTTCGATTTTGATATAACATAATTCCTTTAGTTTAAACAATGATAGCATAAGCAGTTCCACTGTTAATAATTTTTCACTATCCACATATCTTAATACATTAGTTCAGTATCCCCTATATTCATATTAGAGAATTTTTTTCCTCAACTTTCCCAAATTAAAAAAGTATAAAGCATTTTTTAAATATTGTAATTCACATTTAGTGAAAACTACCAAATATCTAGTTAACAGCAAAATTCTATTTTATTATTTTTAAAGTATTAAAAATTCTCACTTATAATTTTTAAGAATTCTTCCTTTAAATATAACTATATAGCAGATAATTTTATTTGTTGTAAATGTACACATACCCATAATACACTCACTTTAACAAAACCATGCATTTTACATTCTAATAAAGTTGTCCCTATTTATCCTTCACAAAAACTCCCTCACAAATTTGTTGAAATTTTAATGCTTTACTGAATTTTTTTAAAAAGCTGAACATTGCTGATGTAAGTAATAGTGATATGAAGCCTAACTGGGAAACTTGGCATTACTAAATAAAGATACTGCAAACTTAGACCAATGAAACTTCTCCCATAGTCTCTTCACCTTGCCTTCACTAAAATAAATAAATAAAATAAAATCATTTATTTAACCTCTGTTGCCTTTTTCTTTAATTCCATGTCACTGTTTTTACCACAATACAATTAGTATTAAATGGACAGCACATTTATTGTACTACTTCACATTGAGTAATAAAAATGGAAAATTATTCAAAGTTGATAAAAGATGTTTTGCTTACATTCAGGAAAATATTTCAAGAGGTTTTGTTCACCAGAACCAGTCAACATAAACTAAACAAATGACACAGAAATTTTTGTGGCACTTAAACATTGTGGACTTATATAGATAAAGTAAACTCTAGTTCTTTGATCCTTTTTAATGCTTGATTGCATTGGAACATGTATGTGGTACATAAAGCTTTATTTTTTTTCCAGCACTACATAACAAGAACTCATAAAAAGAATAACAAAACTGAGAGACAGTCCATTTGAAAATACGAAAAAAAATTGTGACTATAGTCTTTATATACTAGTACACTAGGTATTTTAATGAGTCTTATTCCTAGAAAAAAAGAATTCTAAAAGTACAGTTTTAAAAGTTGTTTATATATACCTTATGTATATCAAAGGACTGTTAAATGTTTTATTGCCTTGATTTTTAACTTAGTTACATAATATTGCTCTCAGTAATTAAATGAGCATTTGTACTTGTTTTTCAATGCCCAATCACTACAGGAGGAGGAACTAATATTTATCTAAGCATCTACTTACTATGTGCCAAACATATGTTTCCTCATTCTATCCTCACCCAACTTTACTCTAAGTGCATTACCCTTCAAGCAGATGAGAAAACAGAGGCTTAAGTAAGTACCTTGCCTAAGGTGAAATGGCTAAGAAAAATGGCGCTGGCAGAATCCTGAGGGCTGTAAAACAAATCGTTGTTCCATTCAACAATGTGGGTTGTTTTTCCAGTAGTGGTCACAGAGAGCAGCTCTCCACCCCCTCCCCATGCCACCCCGATTTTTACCCCCACTTCGTAGTGAACAGCATGGAGTATTTCTTCAAAACTGGATTCGGAAAGGACCAATCTCTGGCCATTATAAAGAGCATGGCCTGCAAGGGTCGAATCTATATCCTGACTTTACCCGGAGGGTTTTAGCTAGATGAGCTAACTGCATGCAAATAGAAAGAGGGTGTTGTGGATAAATAAATCAGCAAATTGACCCGATACGAATTATATTTAATTCTGAAATGCACTGTATACCTATTGACAGATTTCTCTGAAGAGTTGCGTTTTACTTAGACTACTCTCAAAATAGCTTTTCGGGAGGTACTCCGAGTAGACAATAGAAGCTGCTTGATCTAGGTTTTGAAGTCGGAGGGAAAGTGTGTGCACATCTGGACGGACAATTAAGATAACTAGAGGTAATGAGGTAGTAGCTCCTAAAAGGTAGTGCCGCGCTTCCGACGTGTACAACAGAGCTCCGCTGAAGCGCCAGCACACAAATCCACCTAAAGAGCCTAACCGAAACAGTCGGCGGAGTTCGGGAGGATGACAGCTCCAGGAACTTCCCCTTCCTCACAGACCTCCTTAACTCGGCGAATACACGCCTTTCCCCCTAGGAGGCAGGATAAAACAATTCCGAATGCACAAAATTGATCCCATCTCACCAACACCGCAGGACCGGGAGGCCAGCTTCCATTTCTTCCGTCGCCCCTCCAAAAAAATTTTTTTTATCTTAAAACAATGCATACATGCTACCAACTATAAAGTATTCGCAACGAAAAACGGAAATCTGTACTTAGTCCGTCCACACAGCCTTAAGAAAAGAATGAAAAGGGATCTGGACACCGCGTATTCCCGAGATTTACTGCTCTGATTCACTTTCCCTCAGGTCCCACCGCGGGCTTGTGGGCGGACCTTGCAGTTTCGACGTGAAAATATCCCTTCGCCTCTCCTGAGAAGACGCGGAGGCGGCGGAGGCGACATCAATCAGTACGTCCCGCCTCCGACCTCACCTGCCCAGGCCCGAGACAGCGCCTTGGGCCCGCGCGGCCAGGAGTCCCGGGAGGCAGGGAGGCAGGCGAGCGGGCGGACGCTGAGGCGGTTAGGCCGCGCTGCAGGCCGGCGCGCTTCCTGCCGCGGCCGCGAGAACAGAGGCGCGGCCCCGACCCGCAGCTCCCCGGGCCCGGCTGCTCTGAGTGTGCCGCACACACACACTTACCCTCCCCGGCCCGGATCCCGAGGAGCAGCCCTCAACTGCGAGGCTCCGGAGTCTCGGCCACAAAGGGGGAGGGACACGCCACTTGGGGGTCCCGAACACACGGATCCCCAGAGTCGCGGGCCCTGAGCGCGGGCCCCCCCACCCCCCCGCCAACACACACACTCGTAACCTTTGACAGAGACCCGGGTCAGCTCGCACCCGACACACACCCACTAGCTGTGGCTCCTCACGGCCGCCTCCCCGCCCGCCAAAGTCCCAACTCGCAACCCACTCACATATTAGTCCTTCTCCCACCCCATTTCCCCGGGGACGCGCTCCTCTTCCCAACACTCTCGGTCCTACTCCGAGGCACAAAAACATTCTACCTCATTCTCTTCCTCTGGCCCAGAAGGAGCAACAGCAGCCATTTCCCCGCGGCAGGGGAAACACACACACAAACACGCGCGCGCGCGCGCACCAGGCCCCCACAGATGCTTCCCCTCCAGAGCCGCGGCCGCAGACGCAAACGCAAACACAAACACCCACGGGCGGGCCTCGCTCCCTCCCGCCCCGAAAGGAAGCAGCCGCGGCCGGCAGGGTCCGGACCTCGGCTCGCAGAGCGCAGGGGCCTGGGATCCCGGAGGCCCTGCGCCCCCTCCTCACCTGCATTCAGCGCGCCGGGGTCCGGGCGGCGACGGCGGCGGCGGCGGCGGGGCGGCTGGTGCTTGTGCTGCGGCGGCGGGGGAGGCGGTGGCGGCGGTGGCGGCGGGGCTGAGGGCAGCAAAGACATGCAGGCAGCCCGCCGGGGGAAAGAGGCACCGGCCGGAGGGGACGCGGGGCGGGCGGGCCGGGCCGAGCCGCCTGAAGAACGGCAGAGGCAGTTGTGAGGAGGGCTGCTGAAGGGAGCTAGAAGGAGACGGACGGGGGCGGGGAGGGAGACGAGGGCCGAGCTGCCGGGCTTCGGGGACGGTGACCCTGGACGCGCAGGAAAGGTCCCGCGGCTGCCGAAGAGAAGGCCCCCGCCGGAGGAAGCTGCGCCCCCGCAGCCGCCGGAGCCGCGGCTACTACTACGAGAGCCGCGCAAAGCCTGGCCTTGGCCTTGGCCTCCTGGCGCTGAGGCTGCCGCCGCTGCGGGGGTTGCTGCTTCTCTTGCTGCTGCTGGGGCCGAGACTGCTACACAGAAACGCCAGCTTTCGGTGTCTGCTCTCACACACGTTCACACCCCCGAGGGCCGGGGGAGAGGCGTCCGCGCGATATCCGTATTGAGATTAATAACAAGGTGCAGAGAGTGAGAGAGGAAGGGTTGATTGACGTGGAGGGCCTGGCGGGAGTCAGTCACTCCCCTGAGCGGAGGGGTGGGATGAGGGGAAGAAGGCGGAGCTCCATCGCCCCGCCTTGGCCACGCCCCCCGGGCGTCGTATCGGGTCTGGTGCGCTTGCGCGCGTGGCGGCCTGGAGTCCACTATTTTCTCCTTTACTCTTGCTGTTTCCTGTCTTTTCTTTGCTTGAGTGTTGAGTAGAGCTAGGAAGGCTGGTAGCATATTAAAAACCCACACCCACAAATGCACGGTGTGGGGAGAGAGAAACTGGCGTACCGCCTCACCCCGTGTTCGTGCGTGGAGTCGGCGCTGTTTACTGCACGTTCGCCAGAGGCTGACAGCGAAATTGAGCACTGGTCTGGGTGACTGAGATGCCAGGTGAGGTGAAGTGACCGAAAGAATTGTTTCCTGACATCCTCAGTGGGGGTTTTTTAACGTGTAATATCTGTAGGTTGTACAGCGAAAGGTAAATAAAAGAACCTGTGACGCTCTGCGATAATCACGTCCTATTTATTTTGTCTTGCTCCCATCTCGCGATATAATCACATTTCTTTGGCTGCAGAATGAAAACATCAAAATGTAAACTAGAAATATTAACGTTTACTTGATGAATATGGCCTTGGCATTTTAAGTTTCTGGGGCTTAATTTTGTTTCTGTGGGTCAGTTCCATTCAGCTGTTAACATTAGCAGTCCAAAAACAAATCATGCCAGTTCTAGAGGCAGAATATTGCTGGTGCAATTTTGTACAATCTCTTCCTCAGTGCATGCCCCAGGCTTGTGTGCTTACCAATGTTGGTCACGGGTATCTTAGCAGTGTTCAGTATTTTTTTTTTCCTAGAGGGGTGTTTAGCACACTAAGCACGTTGTGTTGGTTGCAATTAATCTTAGGCCCTCTTATTGAATGCAAAAGGTCTTAATCTCCTGGGGAAAATGGTGCGGTAAGAATGCAAATCACCATTTAGCCAAAACTGATCAGCTATTAAAAGTCCATCGTTGCACAGGAATAATTTCACCACTTTCATCTTTGTTACCAGGAAGTGTGAGTGAATGAGCGAAGAAGCCCCTTAAGAGTTTAGAAGGCCTGAAGCTGTTTTGTTTTCCACCTCTGTTAGTTTCCATCTCTCTCCCTAGCAACACCACTCCCATACTAGCTTCTGTAATAGGCATCAAAATGATCTTAAACCTGGAAGAAGTCCCATTTGTTCTCAACTATCTTGAGTCTAAGCTGACATTTAATGAATGATTGTATTTGCCTTTGTAAGCAACAAGGCCAAACAAGTCACTTCAGGAACTCAGAATAGTAAACCTGCCTCAATGGCATCTTGCCACAGCATTTCTCCATGGCACACATTCTTTCTAAAGGAGAAATACTACCAAATGTTGAAAAAAAGAGGGAAATAAACACCTGGAAAATAAATATCAGATGATGGGATGTTCTCACAGATTTAAGCTTCTTGTAATACCTATTGCTATATAGATGCCTAGCTATTCATTCATATACAACATTTATAGACATTTATAGAGGGCGTATTATGTTCCAGACATGTACTTAACATCAGAGATACAAAGATAAGCATAAGTAGTCCCTATTCTTAAGTAGCTCACAGTCATAGGGGAAGCAGACACATAAACAGGAAATTCTCACAGAACAAACCAGAATTGAAAGTATGAAAAGTAACACAAAATTAATAGTCAACAGTGCCCAAGAGGATAAGGCTGATGGCACTGACATGTTCACAGGCTGCCTTGCAGTAGTGAGGAAAGAGGAAAAAGGGGAGAACCTTTGCAGATGTTAAAAAACCACTAATTAAAGGGCCAGATTTGCAGGTCCTGAAGCTCAGATTTATGTAGGGGATGTTCATTGTTGGCCTTTAAGTTTCAAATGCTAGTTGAGTTACAATCCATTGAATAATTGTAATGTGACATTCAGAGTTAAGCATAGAGGATTTTATTATAAAAAGGTCAATTGAATGTAGGTTAAAGTTAATCTCTCAGGGATGTTCTCTATGCAATACATAGCAAATGAATTGACTCACTAAGCACAAAAGGAAAGCAATACTTCTACATATTATATCATCCAAAAATAGGTTTTTGTTTTACCCATTTGCAATGAGATTGAGAATTAAGAAATAATAATTTTAAAATAGCTTTTGATGCTGTGAAAATGCTGAGAAATTAAACCTTCACTGATGTAAAAACAAAAACCTCTCTCCTAAGACTACAATTGAAAAGACATACCAGCTAAAGAGTAATGTTATTCCTCATCCACTGTCTATATCCCCATTACTTAAGCCATTTTAAAAAACAGTTTTATAGTAGATCAATGTTTACAACACTTTAACCTGCTTTTCATATTTCATAGGAATTTTTCATGTTTGTCAAGTATTGCAATTTTTAATTAAGATTAAAAGAATGCAATAAAGAAATATCTCTTTAAAGAAGTGATTTATCCAAGTGAATACTTCTGGCCTAAGTAAGACCTTTTTGACCAAACTGTTTAATAGCACCACCATATAGGTACAGTTTTTTCTGAAACGACAGTTACGTTTATTTGTATTATTACAAAATTGGTTGATTCCTTCTGAATTAAAAAAAATACTTCATGTTCTAACGACCTGTGTCTTTTCCAAATTAGCAATTAATATTTGCTCTGAGTAAATCTGATCTCTGTTGTTTCTGTAGGTAGCACAGGGAGCTGGATCTATAATATACCTTATAATTATCTTCCTTTGATTGTTTTCTGAAATTCCTTTGAAAAACTTGCTCAAAAAGCAAGGATTTTTAAAAAAGTTAAGAACATTATTACTACTTGATAAAGAATTAAATGATTTTACTGATTTCAATATACATTTTATATTAATAGCTATATAACTTTTTTAAAAAGTGTCACATTTAAATTATTTGGTAAGGTATAATTAGTAAAATAGTCAAATGTAATTTATATAACCTTCATTAGTACAACTTTTAAACAAGTATTAATCAAAATGATCTTGAATTTTTATGTCCCCGTCTCCTGACAGGGCTATATATTCTACCTTTTACTGAACTACACTCTTCTTTCTTATATTTTATTCATCTTATTCCTCTTCCTCTCTCTCTCTCTATATCCCCATTATTTTATTTCTTATATTTTTGAGGTACCATCTACCATGGGTATATTGTCCAAGAAAAGTGGCTTCACTCATTGCCTCTGTCCCTTTGCAGGTCCATTACTCTCTTTCCATCAGCTTCCCCTTTGTTCCTTTCTCTAGAGTGATTGTGGATGACACCAAGGGCCATCCCAGTATCTTAGTCAAATTTGAACATTTTCTGCCATTATTAATAGTGTGCTATATGATATGTTAGTCTTAGAGAAAATGGCTAGGTAGGCAAAGTTCATCTTGATGCCCTCCTGCCTACTCTCTCTATACTCTCTTTCTCAAGTCTCTTGATCCCTGAATATTTAGAATCTCCACTCCAACTCCATCAACATCAGCACCACTCTTTCTAGTCCTTTCTTATATTTCAGGAATTTTCTACTAGGTAGACACACCACCACCATCAGTAAATATCTAGTGCTTTCATTTGTCAAGGACTTGCAGGCACCTGGCATGCTAACCAATCATTAGAATCAATTACTTTAGTGGTATATTCCAAAGGTCCTGGTGAGATCTTCAAAGGTATTCTTCAGAAGCCACCTAGGATACACAAAGGGGACCGTATAGGTGAGACATAAATGGAAAAGCCTCTGTTTTAGCTGTTATACGTATTGACCATCGGTCTGTCTGGTAACTTTCATTTTCCTGTGAACAACACTCCTTTTCTTTGGGGAAACTATTTTTGCTTGTACTATAAACATGTGATTCTAGTGCCAGTGACAGCTCAAGAGAGTCCCTCAACTTCTTGGCTGCAGGGTGGGCAATATGACTCAAGCCAAAGCAAGAAGAGTTTTTTTCCCAGAATGTTTTCAGGGAAGACAGGGGAAAAGGTTATTCCATCATAGTGGTAGCCTGAGACAAGAGGGAAGGAAAAAGAAAGTCTTGAGAGTGGCCAGTGACCATATAATACTTTGTGTAGAATGGAGACATCACACATTGGTGAGAAGTAGAGAGCAAATCCTGGTGATGCACCAGTCTCGGGTTCCAGCCATCCATGGGGTCCAGCTGCATCTTTTCACATAGTATATATTAACTAGTAAATTTCCTTCTACATTGAAACTAACTTGATTTAGACCTCAGCAACCAAAACATCCTAACACACTGTTTTTGCATGAAAGTTCTTTCAAAGAACACTAACTGCTGCCGAGTACATTTGAAAAATCACTGAACTAAACTACAGTAAAATAATATCATTGGTTGAATCGCAGTCTACCAAACATTGAAGGTCACTGGTCTGTCTTCCTCATTTTTTACAGGAGGAATCTAAGGCAACATCATGCTGAACATCATGCAGGCAGTCAATGGCTAAGTCAGTGGTATAAATTGATGTCTAGCTCAGTTTTTCTCTTCATTAAACTACTCTGTTGACTATTTAATTTCTCCCAAAGGTATTTTTAAGAGACAATTACTTAGAGATACAACCTTAACCTAAAGAAATTAATCACAACAATGGCAATATCAGACACTGACTGCCTAGTGGGAAGATATTTGGCAACATGAAGGCCTTAATAGACCTCTTCCTTTTTGGGCCTCTCACGTTTTTTCATACCCATCCCAAACACATTC